TGAATGTTGAATTTACTTCAGTTCTATTCTTGGGTATGCAAAAAGATTTGTTGCTTAGTATAATACTATTGGCCTATTTGTACAGAAAAGAAGCAGGGGCAAATCCAGGGATGGTAAAGGGGGGAATAGTTAACCTCTTTTGCTCCAATTTCTCAGAGTAAATCCTTAGTAAGCCACCCCCTTTTCCTCGCATTTCTGGTAGTAAAACCTTTGTAATAGTCACCCCCCTGGATTCCCCACTGAGGAGTATGAAAGAGACAGACTAGGCAATTTATTAGAGAATAATCTATTCATAAAACTATATTAGTTGGATAAGAACCTGTTTTAGGCTAAAATTTCAAAGCAGGTTCTGATTTTATCAAATAGAGTCAAAACAAAACAAATAYAAATCAAAGAAAATAAGCTTTACAAAGTAAATTACACACAGTGTAGCTTTAAAGTGCACATAGGGTTTGTATTTGYTTAGATTGCAGCCCAGGATTGCAGTCATTTGGAGAAAACTTTATGCATAATTTATAGAAACAACAGACCTTTACTACCAAAAACGAGTCGCTTTTTTCTGAAGAAAATAAGAACCTGTTTAAGAAACTAAATAGCCTAATTTTGCAGTAAACACAACTTCCAGTTGTATAAGAACCTTTTTAGCTAACTTGGAAAAATCTAGGTTCTTATACGCGGGTTTTTACTGTATCTGTTATAGATATGTTAYATAATTCACTCGTTTAACTGGAGATCTGTTAATCAGTAAATTATTAAACCTATGAATAAACCTTTTTKGACATGATATAATGAAAMATGATATACGGTTTTGCCAGCATTTAAGGTTACAGGAGGGGTTTTGGACCCCTATAGCACTACCWCACATTTTCCAGGGTCTGTGTTCAAACCATTTACTTTTAAAATCATTTATGCCTCTTAGTATTGCCGAAACGAAATTGTATAGCTTGGTTCGTCACATGAAGGCCAGTTAAGTACTGTTTAATAAACGAGCAGGAGTGTTTTATCGGGTATAAAACACGAGGCGCAGCCGAGTGGTTATAGACCCGATAAGACACGATCTGCGAGTTTATTAAACGGCTTAGAAAACTCATGATGTATGTTCTCATATTGTACAGAATTCTTTACGAATTGAACYAAGTTTGATAGAGAAAATCCAAGTTAAAGTTTATGCAAATAAAGACGAATCTATATCAGATACAAAATCACCTTCATGGTCATGATTTCTATTGTGTTTTCTTCATGAATTATTAATGAGTTTCTAAGAAGTATTAATTTTGTTCATCCAACCATTGCATCCATCGTTAAACAGTGCATTTTATCATGGGTCTTTTCAAGGCCCGGCAAGGACTCGAAAGTKTATCTTTTGTACTTTCAGGCTAATTCGATTGCTTTAGAATGTTTGACTTAAAATACTGTGGATGTGGACAAAGCCCAACGCCTGATGGAACCGAAGGAACTGTTACAGTTGGTTGGTTCCAGGGAGAAAACAAAGTAGTACACGGCTGTATTGTGAAAAATGACGAAAAGTTCAGGGAGTTGGTAAATTTTGAGGAAGAGAAACCAAAATATTTTGCTTATATCCCTCGTGTTGAGATGAACTCAAATGAGACCTTTGAGATTAGTGTTCATCGTTTTACACATACTAAATCGCCTAAAAAATGTAAAGTTCGAAATTTACAGAATGTCAAGAAATTAGATGTGCACGACGATCATGGTTACATATTTGTACCATGTGAAGATGAGTCAGAAAAAAAGACCAAAAAATTCAACAAATCACGTTTTTTAAAGAAGCATAGCAAAAGTATCATAGAAATTCCCCCTGATGATGTATGTAAGAGTGGAAATGTTATGGGATTGAGACAGATAGAGAACTCAGATAGAGTACGCATAAACAAGTTCTTTAGCTTTGAGATTAAAGCTAGCAGTCCTAATGGAAGTAGACATTACATTAAAGACAATGATTTCGATAAGCTAGAAGACACCGGTCCACTTCTTACGAAAAACAATCTAGTTGGATATTACGAAGTCAAGTCAAGGAACGAAATCAAGATTTATACTTTTAGTTCAGATCACAAAGGTAATTCCTACACGCTACCGTAACGACTCTGGTAAAGGCTAGACCAAATAACTAGTTTTATTACACATTTAGGGTCGATTATCAGTGAAAAGCCGTGAATAATAAAAACCATATCAGTTAAGTGATACGATATCCCTTCACGGTAAAACTGTCCAACAAGATATCGAAACATATTTTAGTTTTGACCAATCAAAATCGACCCTAATTGTATTATAATCAAATGAACACGTGATAATCTCCGTTTATTTCATTTTCGATATGATTATTCCATTCCATTCCATTCATTCTGCTATGAGCCATGTCTGCCATGTTATATGACAATAAACGAAGGAACCTTATGAAAATGCTATGTAAACATGGCGGATAAAACGCATGAAAATGGGTGGAAAACTAAGTTTAGAAGTTGTTGCATTCTGTTGACCAAATATCGTAAAGTAGTCATATGTAAAAAAGCAAAGAAAAGAAAGAGAAAGAACTGAGGGGAAAAATTGAAAGAAGGCCATTTAATGGTATTACCCAGTCAGTGAGTCAAAGGAACAGTTGATATTGAATAAGGCACACATTACATTGTCCAAGATTAGTTTTTTCGGGATTGTCCGCAACTCTTGCCATACTCATATACAGCAATTCCTTGAGTTATTGGTTCTTTAATAAAATTACTGTGCGAAACACACTGAAAATTATTATTTTTTCATTATGTTTTCTATCCTCTGAAAGAACCAAGAATTGTACTCGCAGAAAGAGCTTTATCAACTGAAATGTCAGACTCCACCGATGTTGGCATTCAAGAAACTAACGATGAGACTACGGATAACCAGGAGACAAACCTACAACCGTCAACCGACGCCAATGTCCAGGGCAGCCAAACAGGTAACCAAGGAAATAAATATGACTCTCATTATGGGAATAACGATGGCACACGTAACCAGCATCACGAATAGACCCCTTGCCAAAAATGGCAGCCGCAAATTCGGTTGAGTTCAAATTGAACTGAGAGAAAAACCAATACCAGCACTAGAAAGAGCACCTTTATTTTAGTAATAACATACATAAAAAAATTACTCAATTCTGATTGCCTTAGAGCAGTGTTGTTAAAACGTAATACAGTGCAAAAAAGTGTAATTCAGTGCAAAAAAGTGTAAAACAGTGCAAAAAAGTGTAATTCAGTGCAAAAAAGTGTAAAACAGTGCAGAAAAGTGTAACACAGTGCAAATTACAAACGGAATTAGAGCTTTTGATTGGATAATAAACAATGGAAAATGATTTTAGTCGATAAGATGACAGATTTTTATGACGAAAAATTTGAGGAAAATTTGAAGCAAATCGAGGGGGAAAATGGCAAACATTTCACGGATTTTACTATCAAAAAACAACTAAAAAACAGTTCAAAAAAGAAAACACAAGTAAAAGTACATCGTTATTGCTGAATATATGGAAGAAATAGTGAGAAGAAAACAAACCATGACATGAATTGAGGGAAATGAGCCAGCCGATGTAAAGAAAATACTCGAGCGATTTTTTGCCGAAGTAAAGCAAAAACTAAAACAGAAACGAAAAAGACTATGAGCAAGACCATTAAACGTGACGATGTGGTAAGTGCTTACACAATACTTTGGTCTACAAGATCCCAAGCTGAGCCGCAAAGTTTTTTGAACACTTTCAACGACTGTTAGGTATAATGTTTTTCAATGTTTCTTACAACTCCAGTTTAAAATAGATAAAAAACTATTTGAATTACATGTATTTGAAACCMAAATCGCTTTGAATATAGTTTGTTGTGAATGAAAGCTTATGCGTTGAATATTTCACATATTTTCGTCTCTTTCTTTTGTAATTTTTTTTCATGTATGTTATTAATTAACAATTATACGCCGAAGTGAATATCGGGGAATATTTACCGAGACGCGAGTCTTTCTCTGATATTCACTGTGGTTGAGCCATTTTGGATTATCGTGTGATAGTGTGAGTTTCTCGACTGATTGGCTCAGTAATTATTGGGGAATATTTACCTCGCCGCTCGAAGACTCGCGTCTCGGTAAATATTCCCCGATATTCACTTCGCCTTGGGCGAATAATTGTTAACTAGAAAAGTACACAGGTGATTATTGAAAATCTGATTATAATGAATTTTTGTAGGGTTGCTAAAGCATAGGTGCTCTTTCCAGTGCTGCTATTGTTTTTTTGATTTGACGCATTTCAATTTTCGGCCGCCATTTTGGCGATGGGTACAAATCAAAATTACATATCTTGTGTATAATCGGAATAGAATTTCACGTAACGCGAAGACTTCAAGTCCACACTTATAGCATAATAACATTTTATATTTCTAATTTTTAACACAAATTTTAAATCAGTGCTTACTAGTTGTTGGTTATTCTCTAGTCTTCTGTGAAAATGGTACCACCGATTTATTTTTTCAATAAAATATGACGTGTTCGCGCGTTTTTACCGTAAAAAGGGCGAACTGCCACGTATTCTGACGACTAAACGAAGTCGGGGACATCCATTTTTTATTTGCTTATTTTACTTCTAGTATATGATGTTCTTTCATCGTGCAAAATTTTAAAAAAATCTGACGATGGGATCTTTTGCCCATGAACGTCTTTAATGTAAACTGCAGTTTTCCATTTTCTGGGGTACATTGTGTTGTAGGGACTTATTCGTTTTATAGTTTTTTTTTCTGCACGCGCGTACTGCTCTCACTCTACGCTGTTTGCTCACGATAGTTTTTTCAAAAACGCTAGAAAACATGAGCAAGCAGGGTAGAGCGTGCAGCAGGTTTGCAGAAAATTAAATCGAACGATGACAAATGTGATTCTAAAAATAGCAACAGATTCTAAGAATAGCATTAAAGAGTGCTTATTATGGGGCGTGGGGACTGGATTCCTTCTCTTAGTTCATTTTCTCTTGGTTTTACAGATGATTCATCCCTAAAAATCCTCTTTCGCATTCCATAAAACCGCTGTTCTTATGATCACAGACTCATTTGTACAGGATTAGCCTCGTTAATGATTAAATGTGTTGGTATTTATGGATTGTTTTCTCTTAAAACAAGGCTAAACTGATGAAAACGCGGCCGTCGAGATTCACAATGCGGTTTTTATGGAATAAAAAAAGGCTTATTCACATTTTAGCATAAGGCTTATATATATTTTAGTTTTCCATTAAAAAAATCCAAATGTTAGTTGTTTTTTGATAAAACAATTAGACCTCTCCTCCTCAGGGTCTACAAGTCAATAGCGCATTCGGCCTTCAGCTTCATGGACTGTTGACTCGTTGCGGGTCTAATTGATAAATAGTTATCGCCTAAAAAGGCCCGTGCTTAAACATAGAAAACACAAGTGACGCGTGGGATATTTCATGGTATGCCAATTAAAAGCATCGTATATATTTATCTATACATAAAGGATTTTACCTGATGTCGCGAAGATATGAAGTTTATTTTCGAGTGGTGAAAATATCCACCAACACGAGAAGATAAACTTCATATCTTCAAGCAAAAGGGTAATTTTCTTTTTCTTATATAGACACATTCACAAACAAAAACTTGTGGCAACGCGCGTTAAAGTGAGCGGGAAAACATCGAAAGTGACGTCATCGATATCTTCACGTGTGAGGATATGGAGAATATGTCATTGAGGTCCCGGATTTAGATTGTGTGAAAAATACGAGTGGCGTATTTTCCAGAAACCACCACTACTGTCTATATAATAATATTTACTTTTCTGCTTTTAGACGAGAGGTTACATTTATATAAAATAGAATTAACTAAGTTAAGTCATCCATTTTAATGTCTGTTTTATTGCACTTCTTTTTTTTTTAGATAGACCAAACATCTCAAGCTCAAGAGATCCGATCCAATATAATGAGGCATTATCAGAAAACGATGAACGTCAAAATCAGACAAGCGGTAACCTAGCCAATCATTGAGTACTGCCAAGAGAAAATGAACTATAAGAGAGAGTACCCCCGCGCCCAATAAAGAGCACTCTTTGATGCTTTCTTTAGAATTATTTATGCTATTTTTAGCATTTTCTAGCGTCCGAAACGTCAGTAAGTTTTTTCATCTTTTCACGGTGTATAATTTACCTTTTTATCATTACTGTTTCATTAGAAACATCGACGCAGCTCACTCTAGTTTTTAGCTAGTTATCTTCTCTTTATGCTATTTTAAAAAAAGGAATATACATGAAAACATATCTCGATGCTGATTGGCTAAGAGCAGTGCTGTTTCAAGGAAACACAGTGCACTGTATTTCCTTTTTTCTGCTCTGTGTTTCCTTGAAAAAGCACTGCTCTTTCAATCAGCAGCGGAACTTTGTTCATGTATATTATTATTATAGGAACTGAATCATATGGTCTTCTCGTGCAAGTTAGAATAAATTTGAGCAGTCTTGGGTTTTCGAAAAGTTCAAAAGCCATGATTTCCTATACTAATTAAATTGATCGTTTGTTTTTCTGCATGCGCTCAACGTTATTTGCTCATCTTTTTGTGTGCAACGTAAGCAACCAAAGTAGAGCGGATGTCAGTAGAGCGTAGAGAAACAGAAGATGGCAAATGTGATTCTAAAAATGGCATCAAACGGTACCTATGATGGTTACAAGCATGAATACCGGAGATTCCTTCTCTTAGTTCATCTTTTCTTGGTATTGCGTTAAGCATTGCGCATTCAAGAGCAAAGTTTCAGTTTGCATAATTCGTCTTGACCCATTTTATTTTGTAGGATCTTCAGGGAATAATGACCAACCACAATTGCCAGATGGACACAGTAAATATAACTTTCTTTTATGATATGTCTCTATCACGCATACTCAGTAATACTAGCTAGTTAACAGCAATGGAATCTCCGCACTGGGTATAATATCGCGATTCTCCTATAAATTTGATCTGGAAAGAGCCACCAATATTTCTTGTGATGGGTTTGAGGAAAAATCGGGAGTTCGGGATTCCTGTTTTAACTACGAGCCCGCGAGAAAAAGGGGACCTAGAAAAAAAGGGTATGTGGGGGAAGGGGAGGGAAAAGAAGGGACCGCCTGCCAGCATTCCTTGTTATTTTGAAGAACTCGTTCGTTGGCGAACGTTTGGACTTGCCATCAGGCTTGTCCCGTGATAAGGCGGACGAAACTTAAGAGTTTTCTTGTGCGTTAACCAACGTTTTAGATTTATTTGAATCCAATGGCGGTTTTCGTTTTGAGGAATTCAAATCAATTTAAAGCAATTCAAATCGCGAGCAAGTTGCAACAAGCGCGAGCAAGTTGCTCGGTGAATTGTACCATTTTTGATTATCGGAGTGATGTGGTGCGGTACGGTGAGGCGTGGTGTTGTGTTGTGTATCATTTAATTTACTGTGTAGGAGATCATATTTATGATGAAAAAGAAAGATTCTAAATTTTTGTTTTGTGCCCTCCCTGTTTTTTAACTAATTAAATTAATTAATTTGATTAAGGTGACTGCCTACTTTTGGAACTTTTTTTAAAACTTTCGATTTTCCGAATTGAAATTTGATGCTGATTCCAAATCTGGAAAGAAAAATAGGGTGTCCCGAGCTCGTTTTCGAGATAATCAGCATTTAATGGAAGCCTACGCACGAGCTTTTGGAGTAAAAATTGCGCCACCGGAAGTGATTAGGAAAATGATAATATGATAATAGTTATTTGCAGACTATATGATTGCACGAATGAAGACTAGTCAATCATTCTACGATAATACATGGATATTTTCGACAAAAAGACAAAGAGATACATTGATTTGTCATATTTTGTAGTTTTGGTGCTCTTAAAAAATCTCATAAAGTCGAACAAAARTCCCTACAAAAATCTATTTTTTCATGTGTTACTGATTTAAACTTTTYCTAAAATGTTGATATAACCTAGATTTTTAGGAGTTTTTTCGAATGAGCTATTAAAAAATAGAGAGTCCCGTGCAAAATTTGAGGGTTTTGCCCTGTTGGAGCTCAAAGCGCTTATGGTTCTTCAATAAAATCTTGTAGATTTTTCAGCGGTTTTTGAGCGCGCGCACATCGTGGGCTCAAATCGAATTAACGTTCAAAAGCAGGCAGCCACCTTAAGTCATGGATCCATCCCATCCATTGATTCATTCATCCATCTTTCCATCTATTCATTTATCTATCCATTCATCCATCCCATCCATTCATGGCATTCATCTATTCATCCATTCCTTTGTTATTAATTGGTCATATGTTCGTAACTTATAGACGTATATCAGGAAGTCATTGCTAAGTTTGGAGGGCAAGATGTAATAGAAACTGTGGATCGCAAATCATTTGCTGAAGAGGCTGCTAAATACCTACAGCCAGAAAGTACATCGGTCGAAACTCCAGCACCCACTGAAATTATGAAGAAGCAGTGTCGAAAACTTTGTCTCACTTTGAAACAAAAAGGAAGATCAGACATCGTTGAAGAGTTGAGAAAGATATTACGGACAAGTGGAATGACAGGTTGGTTGAGATTTCGTAATCACTAGGCTCTTTCGGTTCCAATGCCTCTCCGGCGGTCGTAAATTTTCACGCTGTGTAAAATGGAACCTGAGGCCCCGTTCACACGAATACGTTTTCGAAATACTCCGTTCTCGTCTCACCGAAAACGCATAGAAAGCTTCACGTCCACACTAGCGTGTTCCTAGCTTATTCGCCTGTCCACATTAAAACGATCAAAAACGCGGATGCGATGGGAAATAATGCATAATCATCATCTGCGCATGCGAAAAACAGACGTGTTAGTGTGAAGGACTTCAGTGTTATTGCCTGTCAACACTAAAACTATGAGCCGGCCTCCTTTTTCAAAATTTTCCACTCGGGAATGCGTTTTTAACTGTTTTAGCGTGGATGCAAGGCCAAAACGCATTGAAAAGGTTTTCAAACGAAAATGCATCAAGCGCAAACACATTAGCGTAAAGGAATAGCCTGAAATCGGCGTCCCTCGATTAAGAACTTTTCCATTCCAATTCCATTTTAATGTGATTGTTCTTAAGGGCGCAAATGATGAATTTTTCGTCGTATACGAAGACATATATAAAACCTCTCGGGACGGGTTTAAGAAGGGGGGTAAAAGGCAGTTCTCTTTAAACCTCCTTAATTACCCTTCCAACCCCCTAATCCACACGATCCTGACTTCTGAAGATCCGCGTCATGTTCGAAAAGTTTATAAGACAAATCATTTGATATGCAGGGCCGCTTCAACACGACGAGAAGATGGTGTTTCGAGAATTGCCTATAAAGGCCCAACAGGATTTGTTCCAAGCTATAAATGGTAAGCATAAATTCTTAACCACTCCGGCTATTTTGAGAAAAACTTTAAAAAAAGTAAAATTGCTTTATCATTCAAATTGATTTTTTTCATCGTTTTGATTGGCCGAGATAACTGCAAAGAAATGTTACAAATAATATTCTGCTTATACGCATTACGGTGCAAAGCCGTTTTTGCTTCAAAATAGTCTTCTCGTGCGCACTAACGTTGCATTTGGCTATATGGCTCGCTCCTGTGACTTGGGTATGCTTGAAATATAGCAAAACCAACCAAAGCACAAAAAGAAAACTTAAAAAATAATTTGAATGATAAAATATCGTGATTTGTAAGTGTTAATTTCTTGCAAGCAATTATTTACCTCTGCCTTCGCTCGCCTCCAACGAATCACGATATTTTACTCGAGTTCGTTAATTGCTTATCATTTAGCCGTGGGTGGTATGCGCTGCAACGGCGCTGTTTAGTTCATGCTGGGGTCGCAGGTTCGATTTTCGACTGAACCACACGTGTGTTGAATTGGTTCGATGTGTTGTTCTCTCCCTTGCCACGACGGTTTTTCCGGGTTCTCCCGTTTTTTTTTCTAACTACATCAAAACTAACGTTTGAGTTGAGTGTTGTGGTTTGTAAATAAATAAAGGTAGTGGTAGCTAGTTTGTGTGGAATGAACCTCACGGAAGAACTCTTACAAGGAGTGATGGTACGTGTAAAAGTTTAGATTTTTTGCTTAGCTGAAGAAAATGCAAATCTGGTTCCTAGATGTGTCGGCTATTTCCAAGGGAGCACGGCAGAATGTTGTTTTTGGACGATATTATGGAGGAATTTTGATTAAACGTCCGCCATCTTGTTTTCCCCCCACCATTTTGCTTTTTGCTTTGTCTTTCGGATGACCGGACGTGCTCCCTTGCTATGTCCAGTGACTTACAGCATGTACGTGACACGATCAGCCTTAAAAATGAATTGTACAATAACTTACGAATTTCTCGCGCACTGATATATTAAGGAATGGATCATAAGTAGCGTGCGTCCATCGAGTTATGGATGCACGCGGGAGGTTGCTAAGCACGAAGAAAAGCGTAAGAGTTGCACGACGCGAAGCGGAGTGCAACTCTAGCTTTTTTGAGTGCTTAAGCAGCCTCCCAAGTGCATCCATAACTCGATGGACGCACAGCTACTTATGATCCATTGCTTTTATAATATAGTCAAGTCAACCAACAAGAAATAAATACAAATTATAGACTGTATTTGTTGATCATGCCCTAAATTCTCCTTACGCACCTTGCGTGAATGAAAAGCACAAAGGCGCTAAAAACAGAAAACAGTCGTTTTGAAAATGGCAGCTTTACACTGAAGACTGTTATGACTAAAATAATGGAAAAATTTAGCTTACGAGTGAATCAAAAATGTCCAAAACTACGGAGAAAGTGATTTTCAACTGTAAGAAGTACATTTCAAATGTTGACATATCTTAGTACAGTAATGCCCGAGAAAATCAGTGAAAAACAAAGTGGCTGTCTTTGTTGTTGTTGACGATGTTCAAGTTTGTTATCGTACAATGACTTAGCAATGGAAAGCTTCTTGTACACGGATCAAAACTAACTGACTGAACTGGATTAATTTTCTCTGGGTAGTATGCTTTGTCGGCTTTCCCTCCCATGTAGAGCTTCAGAAAGGACTTCACTGCAGTCGTGAAGCTGCGAAAGTAGATGGTGAGCAAGATATTTATAGTTAATTACTTTAGAAATACTTTTGTTGAATAAATACACGATAACAATATTTTTGTATTTGTTTAATCATTGCTAAAAACCTTTGAATGTAGACACCGACCAATTTGTGGTTTGCTTTGTCTTTTTGGAGTGACGCTCTGACACAATCTTGTCCAGCTCACTGTTTGAAAGTGATGCAAATCTTGACGTTTTATTACTAGGCTGATCAAATGACAACTCTATACTAAATGTCGGAGATTGATAAGTAGTTTTCGCTAGTTTTTTCAATCATTTTCAGTTATCTTTTCTAGATAAATTGTCAGCAAAAAGATACAAAAAGTTTTTTTTTCGCCGAAGCAAAAAAAAAAGCTGACGTGAGCGTGCAACCCATGGGCAAATGGTTCATGCTTTTCAACCAATCAGATCGCGCGGATTTACTTGACTATATTATAATTTTTGTTTTTTCATCAATAAGAGGACAGACAAATAAACTGCTGACGTCAACGAGCGCGCACTCTTTCTGTTGGTTGTTTTTATCACTTAAAATATTTTTCTTTATTTTTTGTTATTGTAAAAATCAAATAGACATTTATGACGCTTTTTATGTGTCTGTCCTGTTATTGATAACCGTCATCACATTGTTAAAGTAATGTGCGGATCCACACTACTTTGACAAGGTGATGACGCAATTCATCGTCAATAAGAGGACAGACACAAAAACCTGATGTCTATTTGTTAAATAACGGTCAGTTTTTCTTTTATGCAGTCTCAAGAACACTCACATAGCAAAAAAAGAATATAAAATTGCCGCTTGGTATTCATTTATGCCGATAATCTCTTTTACGTTTCTCCTTTCATGTAGACGATACTCTATTGCAGAGATTGGTTACAGAGTTATTGGGTAAATCATCAACTCAGACACACCATTATACGAAAAAGGGGAATGCCGCTGAGACAATACTTCACGAATTCTGTCAAAAGCGAAGACTATTAGTTGGCGAGTTATATGATATTCTTGTCAAAAGGGATGCTGCTGCATTGGCTGATGAATACTTGTAAACAATCATTATGCTCCTACAATTACAGAATCTCCCCGGAATGGAAGTCTTTGTGAACGAGAGCACTTACTTCAGAATTCTCCTCCTTTTCCTTTTTCACTCATGGATACTCGATGCGTAGAAACGAGTTATTAGAGTGAAGCGAGATCTAGTGTTTTGTGATAATAATCCTACGAGGATGACTAAACTCTCGTGCTGACTTAAGATACTGGCATAATGTCTCAATGTTCCAATGCTGAAGCACCAGACAGTACTCTACTCTAGAGTTTTGTGTTTTCGGTGTATTACAATTTATTACACCTTAGTTATTACACTTTGTTTCACGGGTTTTTGAAAACCACTCTATTTTGTTGTTAGTGTAGATACTGTGTGAATTGAATGGAATTTTATTAGTGTTCTATTGTGAATTTGCCATAGAATTTATATTGATATTTTGTAGATATAATAGAACAATAATGCATTGTATTAGGTTCCACTTATAATTAATAATGGTAATTGAACTGAGTGGAGTGCAATTTGGTCTGAAATCAAACGCGCGATTACAAAATCGCACGACCGCGTAGCGGGAGTGTGATTCGTAATTGCAAGTTTGATTTCAGACCAAAATTGCACGACACGAAGTTCAATTACCACTTAATCATATCCTTTTTGTATCATACATAAGAAAAAGGCACAATAAAGAGTGCAGAATAATCAGTTTAATGTAGTAGAAGAACTAAATGCGAACAAAAAAAACATCTAAAAAAACTTTTTTTTATTTTTTATTTTTATTTTATTGTTTAAAAAAAAATTTTTTTTAGAATGCGATTAAGAGCTCCTAAGGATGCGATTTGGGAATTAATCGCACTCCTTTGAACCAATCAGATTGCAGGATTTGGTAGTGATTACGAAAAGGATGTGATTAAAATTGTTATTTAGCTTAGTATACTGTATTTTTATGTAACAGTACAGGGTAAACATAATTATTTATACTGACATATATTGTAAAGCGCCTTGAGCATAGGATAAGTGCGCTATAGAAATAAAGTTTATTATTATTATTATGACAGCAGTGTTAAACTTTAGTATGCTCCATACTAGTGGCACAGTAGGGCTCAAAGCGTAACCTAAAGGCCAATCTAAACCTAAAAAGCTTCTAATTACAATGATGTTGATGATGATGATGATAATGATGATGATGATGCATGATGATGATGATGATGATGTGAATAAAAATCGCTCAAAATGTCTTATAATTCTGAACCAGTTGTGCCGGTTCATTGCATTAGTTTTTGCGAATGCAAAAGGTATTTGTTATTAATTTCCTTCTTTTGAAAGGTTGGTGCAACCATCACATGACGGCAGCCATGTTGAATAGCAGGAACAATACAATCGGTTTAATATAGGAAATCGAATGGGTTCGAGTGCAGTTTGAAAAACATATATCACGAATTTTAAACTGCACTATTGATATTTTTTCATTTTGGCCAAAAAATTTCTGCTTTTTTTTGTACAGTGATTTCGCTTTTTTTCGAGAATTTTCGATGGTCATATTATTACATGAAAAAACGAAATCATTTCCCAAGAACAAAGGGATTTTATTGCTCTGCCATCTACCCAACCACAGAAAATAATTTATAGAACCGCTAAATACTAAAGATGTTTTCACCCCCGTTTTATTCTGTTCTATTCTATCTTATCTTTACCTTTCTTTTTCGTTTTCGTAATTGCGAAATCTGTCCTCGTACGTGTTGGTTATGTATGATAAGTAATATATTTGCTGGTTTTGATTTTCAGAATTGGAATTTTCTCACTTATTTCAAATCTAGAGCTGGAAGAGGGCTACTAAGGTTATTCTTGATTTTGCTTACCCATAAAACTGAAAATATACGAATCTTAAAAGAGATATCATTTCGTCCCGGACTACAGATTTTGAAGAAAGAACTAAAGAAAAGAAGCACATATTGCAAAACTATAAATGTGCATACGTTTAATAGGCGAATGATGAAAAAGCTATTCAAATTCGTTTGCATATATATGATCAACCCTGTCTGCGGATTGGTCCACGAATCTTTTAAATATCCTCCGCATAAATTATCTACCACTCTTCAAAAGAAATCAGTCAAGAGCAAAACTTGTGCTTTGTAAACCTCCCGACCCACCCTCATAATCTGTGTTCGGTAATGACACTCTTCTTCAACGTCGGGTTTCTTTTGCGCGTTTAATATCCTTCTGGTAAACCACTACGTCCTTTTGGGGGAAGTATATACGAATCTGCAAGCAGGATAGAGGCAAAAGCACCAACAAGACACTTCGCGTCGTATTTACACACGATCCGGAGTCTTTATCCCCCTATCTAATTATCATAACAATGAAGAAAAGTGAATTTAATACTATATCCATTTAACGGATAAACCAGGTAGCCCAAGCTATATACAGTCAATTCAAAAAACGTTGTCGTCGACCGGCTCAAGCCTACGCGACTGGACCGAAAGGAATATGGGTAAAATTCACTGAAGCGGTTAAATATCCGTTCTGAATTAATTGTTCCCGCTAGTAGTAAAGATAATAATGGAGAGAAACAATTCAATCCGTCAAATGCATGTCTTCGGGTTTACGGAAAGAAAAATAAAGTAGTTATGATTCAGTTCACAATTCCGAAAATATGAAGGCATTAAAAAAACGTCTTCTTCAACACTTCCTGCACGCCTACGAAGGTTCGTGCTTTAAACCAGGCATAACTAGTCAGATAAAATTATGGAGTCAACTCGGCTTCAATGATTACTACCCAGAGTTCCTTTCGTTGCAGTCGCGTAGGCTTGAGTTGGTCGACGACAACGTTTTTTTGAATTGACTGTATGAGAGTGCTTCGAAGAGCTAAGAGTTTTAAAAAAGGTGCTAACACACGGTGCAACATTGCACGCAACAAATTTGAATCGGGGTGACACACATTGCAACAAAATCACGCAACATCGCTTGTGTCAGCCTGCTATGTTAAGATATTTGGCCAGCAGTTATAAATTTGGTGCAAGCTGATTGGCTGGAACTTTCAAAGTGTTGCAGGTAATGGTGCAGGCATGCTCACATGAAATTTGTTGCGCGCAATGTTACAAGAGTAGAGCGCGATTCAACTTCAGATTTGTTGCATGCAACGTTGCGTGCAACAAAATGGGGTAGACACACGCTGCAACATTCCTGCTGCGTGCAACGTTGCATGCAATGTTGCACCGTGTGTCAGAACCTGCTCAAAATTGACTTAAGACTAAGAATCCCTATTTGTGGATTTGGTGGGAATTTTCGCGCCAAAAAGGGTGCTCGCTCCTCAAGGTTTCAAGGTTTCAAGGTTTTTTATTTCCCAGAATGAGAATTTATACTTTACATCACTATTAAGAAATTTAACTGGGAGGAGCAGAAGAAAACAACCCAAAAGG